GTATAGGTAAAATGAAAAGTTAGTATTTTATTTCTTTATTTCTCCCCCTCATCTTTTAGGGCCCACAAATAATTTTCTCTTGACATATTTTGGCCCATGTGACAAAAGAATTGTACACCTCAGATCTAAATCATGAGTCATTTTTCTTCCATGTCACAGTGATGATCTGCTTTCTGTCACATAAAATTCACTGAATCAGTGGAAATGTTGGAGGAAGCCTCATGTTTACAGCTGTTTCCATGTGTGTTGTCCTGCAGATACCACCGGCCCTAGCTGCTCACATCACCATGCAAAGCACTTAGGAAGAAGCAAGCAGCAGCTTGTTCCATTTCCTGAAGATGGCGCCAACGTGCCTGAAGAGTCTCAGGATGTTGTTGGACTGTGGCAGAGTCTGCAGGAGACGATGGGCCCAGTGGGTCCGGTGGGCCTGGTGGGTGTTGGAACGGCTCAGTGACTGAACCATGAGCCGGTTCTGCCTTAACGCTCCTGAACACTGGTAACAGGCTGAGGCCAAACATGAGACTGGTTCAGAACCAGCCTCTGATTGACTGTTTTTGTTAATCACAATCCCATATCACTAGATGATTTTTGATAAAAGCACCTTATGCTTCCTAACGAGGTTAAATAAAAACTTAGCCTTTAATTCTGTTTATATTTGAGATTTTTGAAAGCAGGAAAATGTACATATTTTTCTCTTCCTGCCTGTTTTATGGTACTTTATATATGCTGCTCCAGAGCTGGATGCAGCTGTATGGAACAATAATGTAGAATAAATAAACTTTGTATTGTAAACTACTGACTGGAAATGCTGACATGTTTTAATTGTTTAGTGTTTCTCTGATGTTATTTCTGAGCATTAAAGGTACAGAAACTGTAAGCTGTGTCGTCTGCAAACACTGAATAACTGATCGATCTGATTAGAAAATTAAAAAAAAGCAATGATTTATGAATGCTTCTTGTTTCCGTTTCTATTTCTTTCGATTCTCTGGTGTATTTTTGGAATATGCAGTTACCTGAGCTTGGCCACATGAGGGCAGTGTTGTATGAAGGACTATCACCAAACTGTTGAAGTAAGAGGGCTTTTATAGTATTCAGTTTCAGAAAGTTCCTGATCTGTAAACATGCAGAAAAAGAAAAATAGGACATTGGAAAGCTATTTATATTTCTATACTTTATTCTATGTAGAGACAGGAGACAGAATAGCTGGATTTTATATGGATTTTATCAGTTATGTGGAAAATCAATATTTTCTTGAGTTGGTGCTTTGACTGTTATACCATTAAAAGAGTCGACAACAAAACACGAAAGAAAAATATTTTTTTAAAATGTAAGCCTTTATAACAGCTTTCCACAGTGCCAATAGAAATGCTACAAAAATCCAGCCACATAGGTAGAAATAAATTGCAAAACAGCAGCCTGAGGGGCAAAATAGGACACTGTCGGGCAGGTGTTTTGGAAAACGGTCTTTTTGGAAACGATTGAGTTTCTCTTTTTTTTTTTCTTTTATCTTAAAGTATTTATTATTCAGTGTCAACATGAAATACTCTGAGATGTAAATACAAGTCTGAAAACTTTCAACTTTGTGTTGAACTACCACATAAAATAAGTCGGAGGGAGATTGTGATTTTAAAGTGTCTAAAAGGAAAAAGTTCAAGGGACCCCGACTATTTTTGCATGGCACAGTGCACTTGTAGCTTAGCAGACAGAAAACATTCATGGCAAAAATAGACAAATATACATATATATAATGTATGTATGTATATGTGTGTGTTTACATCCTTATGTATGTATGTATATACAGTGATGGCATAGTTACTTTGAAAAAGTAACTTTAATTGGATTACTGATTACTCCTTTAAAAAGTAACTTGGATTACTGACTACTTGATTTGGAAAGTAACTAAGTTCAAAAGTGGGTAGTGTGGTTACATTACTTCAGTAACTGGGGTAAAGTAGTTTCAATGCACTGCACTTTTTTCTTTCAAATTATTATTACTGCTACATAGATTGACATTGCATTTAAGTAAATATACTTTAGATTGGAAGCATTGTTTCCAATCTGATGTTTATGCAAATTTGAGCATAATTAACATTTTATACATGTCAGTGATGTCACTGTTTACATCCTTATTTATTTTGTTTTAATAAACATTGTTATTTTATTTGAAAGATTAGTTTGGTGTGCAGGTTGGATCGTTGCATGTTGATGTTTTGTTTCAGTGAGGTTTCAGTGTTCTCCAGGCCTCAGCCTCAAAGGGTGCCTCAGACCAGTGGTGTCCAAAGTCGATCGCCTTTGGACACCAGGCATCCTGCATGTTTTAGTTCTCTCCCTGGTTTAACACACCTGGATCACATAGCTCATTAGAAGCCCTAAGAAAAACATGGACTTGCTAAGGAGTTCTTTACTACCATCAGGCAGAGAACTAGAACATGCAGGACGGTGGCCCTTGAGGACCAGCTTTGAACACCACTGCCTTAGACACCAGTCTGCAGTTTAATGGTGATGGGATGGTCCTAGCATTCTTGAGCGTGTCTGGATGGAACTGTCATTTATTAGTACATTCTGTACAGGTACCAGGCATTGGCAATATTCGTGTTAAACAAGTGAAAAACCCCCACTTACGTCAAAATGAAGTCCTGGCTCTGATAATCAATACGTTCTTGACTTTGGGTATCTGAGGTATGAAATGACCTTATTCATTACTGGAAATGTCTTCAATTCCTGTTCTGTCAAGGCTAGATTTTCTTTGCTTTTTTAGAATGCATACAGGTTACAGCTGAATCGGCACTATTAATGTGAAACCTAAGAAGCTTGTTCAGTGTTCTGCAATTTAAAAAGCACCTTATATCTCATACCGGACTCTCTTTGGACCATTTCTTTTTCTTGTTCTGGTATTATTCCTGTATCAACTGGATCCACTTAAGGCAGACCAGCAGTGGCCTCTTCTGGATGGTAACGAAACTACAATACTTAAAGAAAGTCTAGTAAGACGATATTAAGCAGACTATTCAGGTATGCTAGAAGTGAATTAAATCTAAGAAGCTCATTCATTGAGAATCATTCTCAAATAATTAATTGTTTGCATCCCTTGTGTTGTTTATAAAGGTAATGTATGTAAGGGGGGTGTTGTTTTTGAAAATCATATTATTTAATGGTCATGTTGGAGAAGAAGCAGTAGAGACTCCGAGTCAACATGCTTGATTTATTAACATCAGCAAGCAGGTGCAGAGTTATACAGAGACAATAAAACAGCACACACACACACACACACACACACACACACACACAGGACGTGTTGGATCAACAGAACCCTGGTGAGTTTCATCATCTTCAAACTGATTGATGCTCAGGGTCCTCTGGGAACTTCTCCATGTGATTGTTTTTAATAAAAAATAAATATATTTTTGGTCTCGTATGAAATAATAGGAGTGAAACACACCAATCAGAAAGAGATGGAATTTTCAGTTTATTTCTTTCATCCAATTAGAACTCATTTTGCTCTGTCCCTAGGAAGATAAAGGATTAGCTCGTTGGTCACAGTAATAACTTTAAGAGACAAATCTCATCATGTCTCTGAGGGGCAGACTTTGTGATAAACTAGTTAAGTTGTGTGTTGTCTATTAATCAAACCTGAGGCTGTGTGCTGTGTCTGTTCTGTAGAACCAGAGCTGATTCTGAGAGGTTTCTGTAGACATGTGGACCTAAACATCAACCTTAGTGTTTTGTTTATTTATACTTTAACTGGATTTAGGTTGGTTATTTTGGAAATATTGTAAATTAATAATCCTGGCCTATATTGTGAGGTTCTGCAGGGAACATCTGGAGGGTTGAATCATTTTCTGTTTCCGTGCTTCCTGAAGCTTATTTTAGTTCCCAAATATTGGATCCTGGACGGGGCTGCAGAGTGAACAATAAATTTGGGTCATTATTTTTGTGGTACCTTGATATTATTTTGAAAATACCCAAAGCAGAAATTTGTGTCCTTTGGACAGAGATGGAATAGATGATAAGACAAATGAACGGACAACTGATGGGACGTACAGTGGACAAAAACACAACATTAGGAGTTTGTTTGGCCCATCTACAGCTGGTATCACACAGAAACAAGGTTTTGGTGTTTTTGTGTCAGAACTTTATCTTTCACTCTGAAAGCTTGGAGTGTTTTTTTTAAGACAATATGTGGTCCTGATTGGACTTCCACCTTGTTTCTCAAAACCAGATGATCAAGCATCTGTAACCTACTGGAGCTGATAAAATATACTTTTGTGTTAACTCTAAGAGTATTAGATCAGAGGTTCTTGGTCTGTAGGACTGGTTTTCCTCTGTGTTCTACTTGATCAGTAGATTTAAATTTTCTACCAGACATCGATCCAGCTCACACAGAGC